TATCCCTACAAGAGGGATACAAATTGGTGCCAAGAGGCAACAAACCACTGAGCGATGTGAAAAAGCTCCCTAGCTTGCCGCTGCTCGCCCACCGAGGAAGAAAACCATAGGTCAAAAGTTAGAGAAGAGAAAGACAATACCTACTAAAGAGGAAACCGAATCTAAGTTAGAAGGTTTTGGGGTATTGCCAGATAGGCTACAGCCCTATCAACTTTTCTATGCGAAGACGACCTCGATGGACGCTCCCAAGCCTTCGACAGCCCCTAGGAGCTCATAAGGGAAAGAGGGAGCAACCACGGCCACTCAAGGGGAAGCAAGGGAGCAACAGACAGGCTAGCAATAGGTTGAAGAGGTCATTGCCACAACGAGACTTGACCCGTCGGTGATGGATCTTTTAGGGCAACTACTAGACCATTTACGGCCAGTGGTTTACACCCTTTTTGAATGCCAACTTGCGATAACCTTTGACAGGTTTGTGGCTTCTTGACCTACTGACTTGGTTACCACTACACTTCAAATGCAAAGTTGGGTAAAATGATTTGCTCTCTTCGAGAATTCTTTCATACAAGTCGATCTTTTAGCTTTTTAAGAGAAAACTAACACTTTATTCCTTTCGATGTAGTCTTTGATTGCCCTGAATATGGCCCACAATAAGAAGAAGATCAACTTTGCTAACAAACTCCACGACATGAAGGAGGAAATTGCCAAACTGAAGCAAGATCTTACGGTTTCAAATGAAGAAGCAAAGACCACTCACATTCAGGCAAACGTATATCTGACTGAAAGGAATTTTGCTATGCGAGCAGCAGACTTCTAAAAGATCGAGCTCGAGAAGAAAGATAGCAATAATAAAGAGCTCCAATGAACAATAGTGAGACTCACTAAAGAGTTGGGCCAAAAAGAAAAGGAGCTACAAGCGAATTCAGAGCAGGAAAAAGTAGTAGAAAAGACATGAGCTAAGTTATAGGAAAACTCAAAGAAAGAGAAGAGGGCACTGCAGACAGACCTTGAGTTGGCTCATGCTTGAATTACTTCATTGATAGAGCAAATGAAGCAACAGAACCTTGAGATGAAGAAGAAGTCTGCTTACTGGGTGTTGCAAGCTATTGCAACCGAACAATCCTAACATGTATATCTTTGACCTCCCCGAGGAATACCAAGTTGCTCTCACTTCTATGGTCGAGGTCGATGAGCAAGAAGAACAAGAACCTACCCCAGAAGACAATCAGTAGAAAGCAAAAGTCCTTGAAGATTAAGCAGACAACCCAGAGGCTGGCAATCAACTAGATGACCTAGAGGTTGAAGAGGCTGGAGCTAAGGATCCCAATGATCGAGACCAGTGATCATCCACTCTTTTACTTAGAATAGAGCCTTTTATGCTTATTCTTTTTCTGATGTAGCTTCTGGTCGTCTTTTGTACACATTTTTGAAATATATAAAAAGGAAGTTTTGACCAATTATGATAGCACTTTTATAACTTAAATACTTCACAAAACAAATATAGCATATTGGATCATAAAACTTGTAAAATGTTATAAATAACAAGATTATTAAAAAACTTGAGATTATGACACAAGTAATTCTTTGAGAAGAATTGGAATAATCTTATTCATAGTATTTACAACAATGAAAACTTCACAAGTGAAAAATGATCAAGCTATAAGCGAGTTTGGAATTACTGATAATAGGGGCGAAGATGCTCAACATTCCAAGCTCGCAGTACTTTAGAACCATTAAGCCTTTTGAGGTGATACGTTCCAAGTCATATCACCTTAGCGACACGATATGGACCTTCCCAGTTAGGTCCCAATACCCCCACACTTGGTTCTCTCATACTAAGAAGGACTTTTTTTAACACCAGGTCGCCAACCTGGAAGTCTTTTCTTTTGACTTTAGAGTCAAAGAATCTTTTTGCCTGCTATTGGTAGGAAGCCATCTTTAACCGAGTGTTGCCATGGTGTTCTTCAACTAAGTCCCAGACTTGCACATAAGAGTGCTTCATTGTCTGTTTCATTATAAAATTCTCTCCGAAGTGATCCAATTCCCACTTCCACTAGAACCATTGCTTTGCAACCATATGCCAGTGAGAAGGGTGCTTCTAAAGTAGAGGTTCTCGAAGTTCTTCTATATGCCCATAGAACTTCTAGGAGATTAGTGGCCTAATTGCCCTTGGTTGTGCCAAGTTTGGCCTTCAATGTGTGCTTAACAGTCTTGTTGATAGCTTCAACTTGACCATTAGCCTATGCTCTTGCCACTAAGGCGAATTTCTTATGAATTCCCAACTCTTAGCAAAACTGCTTGAATTCCTCATTATCGAACTATTTCTCTTTATCAGAAATAAGTTTATGAGGAATCTCATAACGACACACTATATTCTTGAAGACAAAGTCTTTAAGCTTCTTGGTAGTGATCACAGTCAAAGGCTTTGCTTCGACCCACTTAGTGAAATAATCCACTATGAGCATTGCATATTTGATGCCACCTTTACCGATTGGCATGGGTCCGATAAGGTCAATTCCCCACATAGAGAGTGGCCAAGGACTTGTCATCATTGTTAATTGGTTGGAAAGAGCTCGTGAGAACGTTCACAAATCTCTGGCACTTATCAAACTTTTTCACAAAGTTGAAGGTATCTTCATGAAGTAGGGGCCAATAATATCCCTAATGGATAATTTTATTAGCAAGAGATCATGCAGCATTATGATTACCATAGATCCCTTCATGTGTCTCTCTCATGACACAGTATGCTTAATCATCTGTTACATATTGGAAGAGGGGAGTGCTAAACCCTCACTTATATAACTGATCTCCAATGAAAGTATAAGGAGCAGCTCTAATTCAAAGGATTCTTGCCTTAGTCTGCTGTTAGGAAGGATCTCATCTTGTAGATACTAAATAATTGAAGTCATCCAGGAAATAGACTCAGTTGCAGCTACGACCTAATTAGGTGAGCTAATGCTGGAAGCTTCAATGTACTTGATTGGAATACTGTCCGGAGCATCGAAGTCCAGTGATAAGACTATCTTTGCCAAAGCATCCGCAATAGAATTACCATCTCTCGAGATTTGCCTAATCGTATGGTGGTTGAAGGGCTCGAGTGCGGTCTTAGCTTTCTTCAAGTAACTAATTATATATATATTTTTTTTGGCTTGATATTCTCCCAGAATCTAATTAACAACAAACTAGGAGTCGCTTCTAATGTCGATCATATCTGATCTCATTTCTCTTGCTAGTCGCAGACCAGCAAATAGCGACCATATTCAGCCTCATTATTCGTAGTTTTGAATCCAAACCTAAGGACTCCATAAATGCGAGTTCCCTCAGAACTGATGAGTAGAAGACTAGCTCTGGCTCTTCTCCTATTCGAAGACCCATCAACATAAAGACTTTAGGTTCACAAGTTTCGAACAGTTTCCTAGACAACTTCACTGGTTGGCTGCTCGGATTTCTAATCTAGTTGATGAGAGAATTCCAAAATAAAGTTAGCAACAACTCGCCCTTTAATTGTTGCCTTCGGTCTGTAATGCAGATCGAATTGACTTAGTTCCATAGCCCATTTAAATAACTTTCTTGAAGCCTCTAGCTTTTGAAAGGCTTGCCTGAGAGGGTAGTTGGTTAATACATGGATAGTGTGGGCATGGAAATAAGGTCGTAGCTTCCTGGAAGTGATTAGTAGGGCATATGCTAATTGTTCCATCCTTGGATACTAAGTCTTGGCATCCAACAGTCGTTTGCTCATGTAATACACTAGCCACTGAATTTTGCCCTCTTCTTGAATGAGAGCTGCACTAACTGCATACTGAGAGATAGATAGGTAGAGAAATAAAATTTCCTTGGGAAGGGGCTTGGACATGAGAGGTGGTTTTTCAAGATGCTCTTTTATGCTCTGAAAGGCCTGCTCACACTCTGGAGTCCATTTAAATCTCTTGTTGCCCCTGAGTATATTGAAGAACGGCTAACAACAATCTGTTGCTCTCAATATGAAGCGACTGAGAGCTGCTATTCTCCCATTTAAGCTCTAAACTTGCTTTCAATTGGTGGGACTTTTCATATCTAGGAGAACTTGGATATTCTTGAGGTTGGCTTCAATTCCCCGATGGTTAACCATATACCTTAGAAATTTCCCTGAGGATACTCTAAAAGAACACTTAAGAGGATTAAGTTTCATTCTGTACTCTTGGAGTATATCAACATTTCTGCGAGTTTAGCTATGTGATCTGAAGTGACATGCGACTTGACCAGCATGTCATCGACATAGATCTCCATTGATTTCTCGATTTGCTCAAAAAATATATGGTTAACCAAACGCTAGTATGTCGCCCCAACGTTTTTCATATCAAAAGGCATAACTTTATAACAGTGAGTCCTCGACTTATGATAAACAAGGTATGCTTCTCATCAGACATGTACATCGGGATGTAATTATACCCTGAATAGGCATTCATGAAGTTTAACAGTTCATGCTTGGAGGTGGCATCAATGAGCTGATCGATTCTGGGCAAAGAAAAACTGTCCTTCAGACAAGCTTTATTGAGATCCGTGAAATCAACACAGGTTCACCACTTACCATACCAAAATAGGATTGGCGACCCAACTCAGGTAATGAGTCTCCCGAATGAACCCGATTGAGAGCAGCTTATCCACCTCAATCTAAAGAGCATTATAGCGCTCTGGGTCCATGGCTCTTCTCTTCCGGCGAACTGGTCTGACCTCGCCATCGATGTTAAGTGCATAACATTACATTCGGCTGATCCTGACTATGTCAGCATGAATCCATGCAAAAACATCAATATTCTATTTGAGAAAGCTCGTTAGATCATAGTGAGTTGAGGGCTGAGATTGCTTCTGATACTTAATACACGAGTCGACTCATTCTGGTCGACTAATACCCCAGATAGAGTCTTAGTAGGACCACTATGGAAATACTCCTCTTGAACACGGAGATCTATATTATCTTCCACTAGACCTAACTGTGGTTTGATCCCGCTGATCGTCATAGCCTACTCAGAAACGCCCACTGGCTTCCCTTTTCCTTTGCATGCTATCTGCACTGCTCTTACATAGCACTCGCGAGATTCATGCTGAGACCCTTTGACTATCCCGCACCTCCTTAGAGTGGAAAATTTCATCTTCAAATGATAGATGAAAGTGACAGCTTTGAAGTTCTGAAGTAGAGGTCGTCCCAATATGCCATTGAAAGCAGACAGACAGTCTACCACTAGAAATTTTGTCATCTTGGTCACTTCGTGGGTCTCACCCAAAGTGACAGGAACTGCAATCATGCCCTTGGGAATCAAATGATCCCTGGTAAAGCTATAGAGAGGGATAGAGGCAGGCTTCAGATCTGCCTCTTCTAAATGCATTTCCTTGAATGCTCGCTGAAATAGGATGTTCATGATGCTCCCATTATCCCCCAACATTCTGTGGACTTCGCACCGACCTATTTTAGCCTCAACAACAAGCGCATCCTCATAAGGGTGATGCAATCATATCACGTCTTTCTCTGAGAAGGTAATCTCCTCCTCTTTGCCCACCTTAGTAGGTCACTGCGCCATGTTTAACACACTCACAGGGTCATGGCGAGCTTCCCAAGCATACTTTTCCTGAGCACCTCGAGAATTCCCCGTGAGGTGCGGCTTTCCAAATATAATCCTGACGAGATGGAGGCTCTTACGACCACGACGCTTCTTCCCATCTTCCTCCTGATCCTTCTCCCGAACGGGAGTTCCATTAACATACTTCTTGAAGTGCCCTTTTTTAATGAGGTCTTCAATAGCCTGCTTAAGAGCTCGACATTCATCGGTATAGTGCCCATTGTCCCGATGGTAACGATAATACTTTTTGCTGTTTCTTATTGAAGAAGGATTTTTCATGGGCTTTGGCTCTCCAAGCATATTAGCTTCTTTCGATTTATTAAGAATAGCTGATACCGATGTCTTCAATGGAGTGTACTGATTTTTTAGGCATAACAACAATCATTATCTTAGCTAGTCAAGACAATATATTTATAGACATTGAGAAATCTATTTCACATGTATATTTATAGACCACTTGATTCCAATGCTGATATACACTCTACTAGAATCATATGAGCATAGAAAACAGTTGGGGGATTGCTGATGGTGTTGCGACATAGGCACTCCGTCGCTCAAGGTAAGAATTCAGTCACAATGATTTAAAAAGCTATTTTAGGAGTGAATATTGAGTTTCATAATGAATAACCTTTGGGTTTCTCGTTCCTTTTATAGGTGAGCTTTTGGACGTTGAGTTTTGAGTAGTTTTCGTTTTTAGTGAGATCTTTGATTTAGGCAAGGAGCCAAGGAGTCTTAGGGTAACATAATTTGGAGATATTAATTATTTCTCCTTTAGATTAGAATAGAATATGGGAAATTATATCATTAATGTATAAATATCATATTTCATTTATACAAAGATACCCATTTAATATAAAAGCATCTCCAAAAGACTATTTAGATGATTCAAATTCTTTATTATAAGGAGTTTATCCATAAAAATAAGAGTCTAACAGACTCTTTATTCTTTAAATACTGTATAAATTAAAAAGTGAGTATGACTCTCTATATCTAGAGAGTCATATTTCACTCTCTATCTTAATTTTAATTAATAAATATAAATTTTTATACATTTTATTTATTAATTTTTTCTCCTATTAAATCTTTTTCTTGAAAATAAAAAACACCGTTAGAAATTTTTTAAGATCATCGTGAGTTTAGGAAAAAATATATCATTTAGGAATAAAATAAGAATATTATAATTTAATATGTCAAGATCCTTTAGATAATATCCACATGGGCCCACTCCCTTAACCTAGGAAACTTCGGTATCTACAACGTTGTTCTACAATTGATTCGAAGACTTATCATTTATCTCATGAAAAAAAGATTGAAACGGAGTTCATGATTGTCATTTTCAGCATATTCTTACAAGGTAATAAAATCTTATTTACTATCAAAAATATTAGATGAAATAAAATAATAGAAAGAGACCTCTTTGTTAATATTTGAATCCCATTCAACATTCTCTGTGAAGAAATCTTGCATTTGAATTTCATGAAAAATATGGGGGTCTAAATCATGCAAAAATGATAAGGTTACATGTGATAATAATTAGAAATGTGAGGCTGTTTTTAATATTAAGATTGGACGAAATTTTAATGATAAAAGCATATAAGGGACTTATTGATATTAGCCAATCATTTAATTTATAAGAAAACGATCATCTAAATGTCAAATTGAAATTAATTTTAACGTCTAATTTCATTAAACTTTCGACTTTAAACCCCAAATCTGTCTTTTTAAAATGAAAATCGAAAGTGATGAAATGCCAAAGTTTATTTTGGTTCTTACTTTCCCTTACTCCTGACGATGTCTTAGCGAAATTTTTGTCGAGGTCTTATCGTGAAGTTTCAAATCAGTAGCGTTTTCACGATGATCTTCTAATCATTAACTATGGCCTTAGTTAAGTTGGTCTAGCTAGAATATTCAAAGTGCCAATGGATTTGATTGCTTTGTTCAGTCTCCTATACTTTATTAGATTGTTATTTGGTCTTATTAAAAAAACTACTTTATTGTAGGATCTGTGAGATGCGAAAAATAAACAATAAGTAAATAAAAGGCAACCACAAAGAACACCATATTTATATGGTTTGACAAAAAACTTGTCTACATCCACAGAACTTATAATCAATAGAAATATAGGAAAATGAACAAGTCTAATCGGTCAACTTTAATCCAAAATCCAAGCCCCAAAACCCTTGTAAAACCCTGTTAACCTACTCAAGGATTTATATACAGTAAAATCTCTCTATAGTGATATTCTATATAAGAATAAACTCTACATAGTCATAAAAAATTATATTCCCAATTTGGGATAGTTATAAATAAGAATAAATTTTACATTGTAATAAGTTATAATTTTTCTAATTCCCGTCTTAAGGAAAGTTGCCTCCACATAGTAATAATTATCTGTATATTGTAAAAAAAAATATGGTATGTTACATCAAAGGTTTAAGATGAAATAAAATATTTATCTGAAATTGTATAGGATAATAATTTATGTTTTAGAGTTGTTATCACATCTTTTAACTTGTAGGTACATTACTCGCTAGCATGAATATTTTCTTGTTAAAATCAAAATATTTATATCTTCTTAAGCATGATTAGAGCTTCTTGACATGAAACTTTTTGTATTTACATATTATCATTCTCATAATTATTTGCTTTCTCTTATTGTTTAATTGTAAAAATGATTTCTTCTTTTATTAAAGTGTACATGACTTGTTACTCATTTGGATGATTAAGGAAGACATTAATATTCATTCGACTAGTGTAATGAAGTTATCGAATCTGATCACTCAATTCTACAATGACTATTTGATTCTCCTCATCCACTTCATTTGTAACTTACAATTCACGACACCAGAGTCCTAATTTTATAATGCCTAACAATTGACAATTGTATGTGGCTTCACATCAGTTGTCATGCAGCAACTGCAGTAACAATTCCATTAATGCCATTTATCTTTGTTGGTTTCAAAACACGATTTTCTATCCGTTTCAAAAGTAGGCAATTGAAGCGTTGAATTGAAACCCTAATATTATTAAAACATGAATTGAAATCCTAATATTGTACTACTAAAACATGAATTATGAAATTTTTTTTAAAAAAAAAAAAGATTTAACTACACCCCTATTAAGTTATAATCTCCTCATAGCAATAAAATTAATTAGTTCCACCATTATGACTATAGAGAGGTTTTATTGTATATAGACATATCTTAAACTCAAAAACTAAATAGATCTCAGAAAGATTGTTCAAAATATTCAATAACGTGTTGTGATATTTAGGGTATGTTTGGGGTGCGGCATTGTATGGTATATAACTGAAGAAACACATAAATATAATTAATGAAAAAGAATCATTTATTAACACTAAGAATATTAAAAATAAAAATAATTTTTTATTATCTTATTTTAAATCAATAATTATCTATATATTTTAAAACAATTAATTAAATTATTAAAATTGTCAAAGCAAATGAAGTAATACATACATCCCTTATCCCACCCTTTTGCTTAGTATTAATTAATACAATCATTTTACTTGGTGTTAATTAGTACCATCGAGATGCATTTGGACTTATAAATTGCATTAGCTAATAGAACACAGAAGCATCAAACATTGTATTGTATTAGTTAGTACTATAGGGTAATCTTTATACCATACAGCATCACGCACCAAACATACCCTTAATGTCTCCAACAACAAGAAAACGAGCTAAGTATTATTCATGCTTTTTTTAGGCTAATAACAACTTTAAAATGCAGATATTTCTGGGTAAAAAAAAGATCCCAGGCTACCATTTTGAAATTCTGGACCACTTTGTAGCTTTCCAAATATCTTTTGATGGTATGTGTTGAGATGTAATGTAATTAGTTTGTAACCCTAATTGCCTAACCCAAAGATGGAGGAGTTTGAAGGGACAATGGGCTCAAAAGTTTATTCCCGTAGGCAGTTTTCAATTTCTTTGAAGTAGATAAAAAACATACTATAATAAAAGATCATTTAACCAAAAATTCGACGATCGACAAGAAACAAATGTAATGTATTTTTACCACAAAGATACATAGAACTACTATAAATTTGTGACAAATCACTTCATGTATTACAACTTTGTGGTCACTCAAGCCTAGCGATTAAATTGAATTTTAAAGGGGTTGAACTCTGAGAGGCAGCCCATAGGTCGGCCTCAAGGAGAGTAAAACACTAGGAGAGTGACAATAAGTTGGGGAAAGGTGCACAGAAAACCTTGAGAGAATTAGGGTTAAAACAACCTTATACTCAGTCATGGCCAATTGCCTGGCAACACACATCCTCCCTCCAAAACCAAAAGGCAAAAAACCCATCTTGTTTTTGCAGCCACCATATAGTTGATCATCTCTAAACCTTTCTGGCTTAAACTCATTCACATCATCACCCCACAAAGCCGGATCATGATGCATGGCCACCACATCAATCCACAAGTTGGTTCCTTTACGGACTATTTGGTCATCAACTCGAATATCTTGGCGTGTTTGCCTTTGTGCATTTGGTGCCGGTGAATATAGCCGCAAAACCTCATTCATTACCCATCCCATCTACAAGAGTTAATTCATCATTTAATAAAATGATTTATAAGGTTAAGAATAACATTCTTCCCATATTCTAAAGTTTCTCTTAAATTATGAATTTCATATTGAGAATAATATCTTATTATATAGCATGGATATTCTTGTACACGGATAGATAGTTGATTTGCTACTGATAACTTAGCTCCTCAGAAAACAAGTTAGAACTTTTTTTTTTTTTTTTTTTAATCTATGAACTTTTCTCTCTCGTTCATAATTACAATTAAGTATTGATGGGTTCTAAATGAATAAATATGTAATATATACGTACTGACATGTGATTAGGAGGGCCGGATCTATATGTTGGGCCAAGGGTGCCATAGCCAATCTGGGTCCTGCAAATTTTTTTTTTAAATTTATTTAGAATATATAATTTTTACCTTTAAATATTTAACTTTTAACTTTTTGGCCTCCCTCTATTTATTGAACCTAACTCTTTAACAAATGAGTACAACTTTCTAAATCCATTTTTAATAATCTAAACCCTTAATTCGTTGTAGATGATCCTTCAGCCCCCAAAAAGTTTTCTGGCTTCCTCTCTAACCTTATAAGTACAAAGACTCTCTCAATAAATCATAAATAGTATTATTTTTCCTAAAAATTAACTTCAATTAGAAACACAGAAATCAAGATGGTGTTGTGAGGAGAGCATATCATACCTTCTTTAGTCCAGCAAGCAAATCGAAATGCACTTCTTTATCTCCTATTACTTCTCTTATCTCCTCTCTCAGCTGGTTTTGCCAGTCTGGATTCATGGCCAAAAGCAGTAAACTCCAGGACAGTGCCAACGCCGTGGTTTCTTGGCCACCAAAGAAGAAAGTCTTGCACTGATCTATTAGTTCCCTTGAATTTAAAGTCTTCCCTCGCGGATCGTCTACATTGTTTGCTTCCAGCAATAATCCCATCAAGTCTTTTGAAGGATGCTGGTTACAGGAATTTTTTCGAGCAGCTATGATCAATAGAAGTAGACTATCTATTTCTTTTCCAAGTTTTATGGCCTCCAAGTTTCGCTTAGGGTTCATAAAATTGCTAAAAGGGACACCCACATAGCGGTTGTACTTAAAAAGGGCAACTTGCATGGCACTTAATTTTTTTAACACTTCACTGCCGTCTTCGTAGCTGATACCGAAGCTGGTCTTAACGATTATTTCACCGGCTGTTGTTATAATCTCTCTTTCCACATCGATTTCTTGGTTGCCTGAATTTATGAGGCTAATCCACCTGTCGAGCATCTTAGAGGCCGACTCCACCATCAGACTTATCATAGGCTATTGGAAATCAACATAAATTAGTGGTTCAGTATAAAACTTCAAAAAAAATCACATGAGATTAAGTATGAAACAAATTAACCAATACTTTTTTCTCCATATACCATAACAGTAACATCAAACGAAAGATACATACACTTATAATAGATTTTGTTTTGATTTGATTTCTACAAAAAGCTGAAATTATAATCACGAATTTATAGTCTAATTTTTTCAGTTGATAAATATTACTAAGGTCGATCAGTAGAGAGTGTTTCCAATTATTTACTTTACCATTTATAATTCTAAGAAAGTGTAATGTAAAAGCTATTCGGTAACCAATTCAAAATATTGTCCAAAATTTTATCATTTATACAGTCATTATGGGCTAACTAAAAATTCAATTTAGGAGGGACAAGATCAGATAAAAATAATAAAATTTTAAAAATTGATTGAGATTTATTTATATAAACAATTTAAATTATCGACTAAGTTATAATTGTCTTTGAAATGTGTTTTCTATTATGTATAAATAAGCATTGTATCATAATTTTGTTATTATAATGCTAAAGAAATCAATCTTAGATATTGCAAACTCTTATGAAATTGAGTTTTAGATTTCATTGATTTTGAAATGGAAAACCTCTAACAAATTCTGAGAAAGTTTAATGAAATTATTGGAGAAAGAATATATATATATATATATATATATATATACACGCATTTTGAGAGAAGGCATTGAAACAAGATACATAATTAGTGATAAAAAAAAATGTAACAATTTTATGACAATAATCTGTATGAGATATGTTATATTTAATTAATAAATAGTAATTAAAAGAGTACAAACAATGCAACTTATTCTTGAATGCAATATTATGATTGAACTTCAATATGTATTTGTTTTATGGCTATAATTCCATAAGAAAATATTATGATTAATTATAATTCAGAATTTTTATTGACAAATAATAATAAAAAAAAATTAGACATATTATCCATTTAAATTGTAAAGAAGTTTAGAAAATTGAGTTTTGGAATTTTATTCAGTTTTAAAAGACATTTAGAGAATTGAGCTTTTCAGATTTTATATCAATAGGAGAAAATTAGATAATATATGCATAAGAAATTTTTGGTCGGCACTGAAGATGATTAAATTAAGAGCTTAAAACATGCAGGGTCAAACATGGTTGTAAGAAGTTTAGAAGGATTTTTAAGTCCATTTGTATGTAAAAAGGAAATAAGGAGACCTTCAAATTGGCCCAAGAAAATGCAGGAGTGATTACGTGCCGAAGACGAACCCATTCCTCTCCTTCCACCATAACTAGACCATCACCAAACATGGGTTTTCTGTCTTTTTTAAACACAGTTGGTTTTCCCCAACTCTTTCCTATAACCCCTGCAGACAATTTTTTAAGAAATTCTGGATCTGCAATGTATAAAAATGGCTCTGTGCCCAGCCAGTAGATGAACACTTTTCCTGCAATAAAGATTATGCATAACATACTTAAAATTTAATTCTATGCAAATTCATTGCAATATTTGTGAAAAAAGGATCGATCCATTAGGGTTTTGTTCATTTATTATTTTTGTATTAGGAGGCTTACCATACGACTGTTGCCACCGAGCAAAGTAGGGAAAGAGAGTTGAGTGTATATCATGGGATATACGTGAGCATCCAACTGATGAATTACTCCTGTTCTTCTTCTTATTCTTCATCTCACTAATATTCCCTAAAGGAAATATTGGAGTTGGACCTCGAAACCCACTTCTCTTAATCTTCTGATATACAAAAACAGGCAAAATCCAGCAAGAAAATAGTACTCTCAAGAACATGAATAAAAGAAACCCTATCACTGTTAGGTTAAACATAGTAGAAAATAGAAAAACAAACATTTCTAGCTTCTTAAGCATGATTAGAGTCTTCTTGACATGAAACTTTTTGTATTTACATATATCATCTCATAATTATTTGCTTTCTCTTATTGTTTAATTGTAAAATGATTTCTTCTTTTATTAAAGTGTACATGACTTGTTACTCATTTGGATGATTAAGGAAGACATTAATATTCATTCGACTAGTGTAATGAAGTTATCGAATTGATCACTCAATTCTACAATGACTTTTATTCTCCTCATCCACTTCATTTGTAACTTACAATTCACGACACGAGTCCTAATTTTTAATGCCTAACAATTGACAATTGTTGTGGCTTCACATCAGTTGCATGCAGCAACTACATGACAATTCCATTAATGCATTTATCTTTGTTGGTTTCAAAACACGATTTCTATCCGTTTCAAAAGTAGGCAATTGGGCGTGAATTGAAACCTAATATTATTAAACATGAATTGAAATCCTAATATTGTACTACTAAAACATGAATTATGAAAAAAAAAAAGATTTAACTACACCCTATTAATTATAACTTCTCATAGTACATAAATTAATTAGTTCCACCATTATGACTATAGAGAGGTTTTACTGTATATAGACATATCTTAAACTCAAAAACTAAATAGATCTCAGAAAGATTGTTCAAAATATCATAAACGTGTTGTGATATTTAGGGTATGTTGGGGTGCGGCATGTATGGTATATACTGAAGAAAAATAAATAAATAATGAAGAGAATGCTAGTTTACAGACATACAATGCTAGATAACTGATATATTTTCATCTTTGTCTGTATCACTGTACTATACTTAATACATTTTAATGAAAAAGAATCATTTATTAACACTAAGAATATTAAAAAAAAAATAATTTTTATTATCTTATTTTAAATCAATAATTATCTAATTTTAAAACAATTAATTAAATTATTAAAATTGTCAAAGCAAATGAAGTAATACATACATCCCTTATCCACCCCTTTTGCTTAGTATTAATTAATACAATCATTTACTTGGTGTTAATTAGTACCATCGAGATGCATTTGGACTTATACATTGCATAGCTAATAGAACACAGAAGCATCAAACATTGTTAGTATTAGTTAGTACTATAGGGTAATCTTTATACCATACACATCACGCACCAAACATACCCTTAATGTCTCCAACAACACAAAAACGAGCTAAGTATTATTCATGCTTTTTTTAGGCTAATAACAACTTTAAAATGCAGATATTTCTGGGTAAAAAAAAGATCCAGGCTACCATTTTGAAATTCTGGACCACTTTGTAGCTTTCCAAATATCTTTTGATGGTATGTGTTGAGATGTAATGTAATTAGTTTGTAACCCTAATTGCCTAACCAAAGATGGAGGAGTTTGAAGGGACAATGGGCTCAAAAGTTTATTCCCGTAGGCAGTTTTCAATTTCTTTGAAGTAGAAAAAAACATACTATAATAAAGATCATTTAACAAAATTCGACATCGACAAGAAACAAATGTAATGTATTTTTACCACAAAGATACATAGAATACTAAAATTTGTGACAAATCACTTCATGTATTACAACTTTGTGGTCACTCAAGCCTAGCGATTAAATTGAATTTTAAAGGGTTGAACTCTGAGAGGCAGCCATAGGTCGGCCTCAAGGAGAGTAAAACAGTAGGAGAGTGACAATAAGTTGGGGAAAGGTGCACAGAAAACCTTGAGAGAATTAGGGTTAAAACAACCTTATACTCAGTCATGGCCAATTGCCTGGCAACACACATCCTCCCTCCAAAACCAAGGCAAAAAAACCCATCTTGTTTTTGCAGCCACCATATAGTTGATCATCTCAAACCTTTCTGGCTTAAACTCATTCACATCATCACCCCTAAAGCCGGATCATGATGCATGGCCACCACATCAATCCACAAGTTGGTTCCTTTACGGACTATTTGGTCATCAACTCGAATATCTTGGCGTGTTTGCCTTTGTGCATTTGGTGCCGGGGAATATAGCCGCAAAACCTCATTCATTACCATCCCATCTACAAGAGTTAATTCATCATTAATAAAATGATTATAAGTTAAGAATAACATTCTTCCCATATTCTAAAGTTTCTCTTAAATTATGAATTTCATATTGAGAATAATATCTATTATATAGCATGGATATTCTTACACGGATAGATAGTTGATTTGCTACTGATAACTTAGCTCCTCAGAAAACAAGTTAGATTTTTTTTTTTTTTTTTAATCTATGAACTTTTCTCTCTCGTTCATAATTACAATTAAGATTGATGGGTTCTAAATGAATAATATGTAATAATACGTACGACATGTGATTAGGAGGGCGGATCTATATGTTGGGCCAAGGGTGCCATAGCAATCTGGTCCTGCAAATTTTTTTTAAAATTTATTTAGAATATATAATTTTTACTTTAAATATAACTTTTAACTTTTGGCCTCCCTCTATTTATTGAACCTAACTCTTTAACAAATGAGTACAACTTTCTAAATCCATTTTTAATAATCTAAACCCTTAATTCGTTGTAGATGATCCTTCAGCCCCCAAAAAGTTTTCTGGCTCCCTCTCTACATTTATAAGTACAAAGACTCTCTCAATAAATCATAAAATATTATTTTTCCTAAAATTAACTTCAATTAGAACACAGAAATCAAGATGGTGAAACCCCAAATCTGTCTTTTTAAAATGAAAATCGAAAGTGATGAAATGCCAAAGTTTATTTTGGTTCTTACTTTCCCTTACTCCTGACGATGTCTTAGTGAAATTTTTGTCGAAGTCTTATAGTGAAGTTTCTGTTAGACAAATGGTGACATTTTAGAAAGGTTAAAGTGTCGTCGTTTTTATGTTGAAATAATCAGCTATTAAAGCTGACTTGTAACACTGTTCAATCTATCGAAATATAAAGAAAAGTTCTAATCCCTCTTTTCTCTCTGTTTTTGCTCTCAAATCCCTAACTCTCATATGGTATCAGAGCTTCCTTGACTAACGTCAATGGCGAAAAAATCTGATAGCTCCAATTCAACCGACAACATTGACAGAATGTTTCACAACTCTGTCAACAATTCTTTTAATCTCACTTCCTCAGCTATTTCCTCTAGTCTCCAAGTTATTAATCCAAAGCTTACTCTAGACAATTATAGATTATGGCGTTCTCAAGTACTTTTTGCAGTAAGAGCTCACGAATTGGAAGATCATCTAACAGGTTTAGTTTCATGTCCAGCTCCTTTAATTCCTAGCAATTTCGATAGTTCTAAAGATAATGTTGATGGTCAAAATGTTGAGTTGTTTCTAAAGAAAAGATCAATCCAGCTTACACTCTATGGAAGCTAACTGATAAGTTTCTTGTGAGCTGGTTGTTAGCTTCGATATCTGAGAATATGTTTAGAACTGTTTCTAAATGTCAGTATTCCACTGAAATTTGGTTTGTTCTTGAAAAAGAATTCATTACAGACTCCAAAGCTAGGGCTTTACATTTAAAGAATTTACTTCAGAATACTAGCAAAAACAATCTTAGTATAAGTGAATATGTTAGAAAGATGAAAGGAATTTCTAGTGGACAAATTATTTTTGACGAAGATTTGCTCCAATATATCTTAGATAGACCAGGTCCAAAATATAATGCTGTTGTTGTAAACCTCACCTGTAGAATCGAATCTAGATCTGACTCAGTGTCCTTGCAAGAAGCTCAATTTCTATTGCAAAAGTACGAAATCAGGTTGGACAAGTTCAATTCAATAGACTTTCAAAATAGCTCAGCTCACACCGTAGCTACAATAAAAACCAGTTCGCCATGAGCTTCTGCATTTGCATGAGACGAGCTGCTGCATTTGCATGAGACGAGCTGCAACCAGTTCGCCACGAGCTTTTGCATTTGCATGAGACGAGTTGCTTGTAGCAACCAGTCACGAGCTGCTGCATTTGCATGACACGAGCTGATGTTGGACTGCTCAAAAAAAAAAAAAAAAAAAAAAAAACTGTAATCATTTGTTATGTTCCTGATCGTCCCTCTCTCTGAAGTTTGCAGCTTGCCCATCATCTTGTTATGAGGTGTTGGTATCTTGTTGTGAGATGTTGGTATTTTGTTATGAGGTGTTGGTCTTAGTGGCAAGTTTTATTTGACAGGGGCTGTTAAGACACATTTTTTTTTATCAAGATGAAAGATGAAACTATAAATGCAGTTTAGCTTGACTGGGGCTGTTAGACAAACGGTATTTGTCTAAGCTGAAACTGCATGTAAAGAGTTGAGCTTAGCTTGACTGGGGCTATTAGACAAACGGTGACGTTTTAGAAAGGTTAAAGTGTCGTCGTTTTTATGTTGAAATAATCAGCTATTAAAGCTGACTTGTAACACTGTTCAATCTATCGAAATATTAAGAAAAGTTCTAATCCCTCTTTTCTCTCTGTTTTTGCTCTCAAATCCCTAACTCTCATTCAAAGTTTAGTCATCGCAAAAGTGCTACTAGAAGATTAGTAATTGATACCGGAATCAATTCAACCAGATCGATCTTATAAGTTTCACGGTTACCATTTGATTGCTTTGTTCGTCTCCTATACTTTATTAGATTGTTATTTGGTCTTATTAAAAAAACTACTTTATTGTAGGATCTGTGAGATGCGAAAAATAAACAATAAGTAAATAAAAGGCAACCACAAAGAACACCATATTTATATGGTTTGACAAAAAACTTGTCTACATCCACAGAACTTGATAATCAATAGAAATATAGGAAAATGAACAAGTCTAATCGGTCAAATTTAATCCAAAACCCAAGCCCCAAAACCCTTGTAAAACCCTCTGAGCTTATTCAAGAATTTATATACAGTGAAACCTCTCTATAGTGATATTATATATAGGAATAAACTCTATATAGTCATAAAAAATTATATTCTCAATTTGAGATAGTTATAAATAAGAATAAACTCTACATTGTAATAAGTTATAATTTTTCTAATTCTCGTCTTAAGGAA